GATGGCATGGGGATGGCACTGCTTTAGACCCTGTGTGGTAAGGCCCTAGGAGGATATTCAGAAACACCAAACAAAATACAGACCACTGATTTATTGCAAAAAGAGTAGGCACCCTTCCTACACATCTAATTACACACTGTAAGTGGAAAAAAGAAGAGCTGGGTGTACTTGGGCCCATTTATCATTACAAGACTGTTCAGCCTAAGCCCTGGAATCTGGTTAAGTTGAATTGATTAAATTTAATGATATCTCTGCTTTCAGTGGCTGAGGTCTTACATCAGGATTGCATAATGCAGATCACACATTCATTCAACCCTAGTCTTTAAAGGCAACCAAATTCACAAATACATGACTGAACGTACATCCATATAGACTGGATGCAGATGTTGTGCATCAATCAAAAATGTCAAACTAATTCCATACGGGAACATGCCCATGCGTAACACACCAACAGGATGCCAGTCACTACATGTTAATCTCTTTCTCTTGCCTTAGCACAATACTTTTAAGAGCGTATGAAGAGCCCTGTTGAATCAGACCAAAGGCCTGTATATTGAACATCTTGTTTCTCAAAGTGGCCAACCAGCTGCCTGAATCTGGGAAGCACCAAGGGAGCACACAGGGTTCTTATGGATGTGTGGTGCTGATTTATCAATCCACTGTATGAGTACATATAGCGTTTATGAGCCTAGATATTGGGGCAGTTGATCTCTTCATGTCAGTTCACCTGCTTTGATGTTTTAGTCCCAATTTTGAAGGAGCTATATTAGGGGCTGAACACTGTCTCCCAAATAGGTTCAACACCTTGCAGACAAATTTGGAATAAGCCCCAGCATGGATTCATTTCCCCCCTTATATGAAAGCTGCCAGCTGCTACTGCCCAGATAGTCAGAACTACACCCATTTAGAGGTTGAGACCCTTTGTTGTTGTTGTTGACTGCCTTAAGAGTGTTGATCCTAACTCATGGCGACCCTGTGGATGAGACATTTCCAAAACACCCTGTCCTCCATGGCCCTGCAAATTCATTCCCTTAATAGAGTCCATCCATCTAGCACATGGTCGTCCTCCTTTTCTGTTTCCCCCACCTTTCCCAGCATTATTGTTTTTCTAATGAGTGCTCTCTTTTTATGATGTCTCCAAAATACAACAGCCTAAATTTTGTCATTTTGGCTTCCAGGGAGATTTCTGGTTTGATCTGCTCTGGGACCCCTTTCTTTGTCATTCTGGCTGTCCACATAATCCTCAACACTCTTCTCCAGCACCACATATCAAATGAATTGATTTTCTTCCTATCTCGTTTCTCAATTGTCCAGCTCTCACATCCATACATAGTAATAGGGAATACAATGGCTTGTATGAGCCTACAACATGCTTATGTAGTGTAAAACTACACTCACACAGTTATGCAGTGGCTGTGCTATATCACTCTTTGGGAACTTACCAACATGTGCAGCTGATTGCATATCTGCTGACGTACTGGTGTATCATCACAATGGTTGTGAAGTTGAAGGCTTTCACAGCCAGCATCCACAGTTTTCTGTGGGTTTTTCAGGCTATGTGGCTATGTTCTGGAAGAATTTATCCCAAAAAACGCACAAAAAACTACACAATGGCTGTGCCTGCAATCCCAGTGAATCAAATGATACATAGCTCAGGTCCAGGTTATCAGAAGGACTATATTCTCTCGTATGAGCCTGCCTTAGTTTTAAGATCTTCTGGGGAGGCCCTTCTTTCTATCCCACTACCCCCACAGGTACATCTGGAGGGAACATGGAAGAAGGCCTTCATGGTGGCTGCTCCCAGGCTCTGGAACTCCCTTCCAAGAGAGGTTACAATGATGTCTTCCTTGCTATCCTTCTGTAGGCAGATTATTTTTTAGTTTGTTTGTTTCAGCAGGCCTTGTATATATAATTTATGGAATTTAGATTGAATGTAATCAGACCAAATTAAAGAAGGGAAAAAAGAGAAAAGCGAGAAAGGAAAAGAGGGAAGGAGAAAAAAAAGGAGGACTGAAATCAACTTTGAATTGAACCAAACTAAGATCTAAAGATTGAATGCTATATTTTTGATTGTTAATCACCACTCTTTCCAATTTTCTTGAAGAGATAAAGAGGGAAGACGACAAATTACATAAAAGAAGATAACTTTTCTACGCTAGGAATTTTTAGGTCTATTTGTTTTAACTTTCCAAAGCCACCATGATTCCTGAACTGGGAAAAGGATGAAAAATAATCTTAGGAGGAAAAGGAAAAGGAAGAGTTGTAGTAGTAGTAACAACAAAATACTAACAATCATATATTGGAGACACTAATAAATAGTTTTGCCCATCCACAAATGAGAAATTCCATATGAAAGGGTTACAGTTGCAATACTGCTGCAGCCATGAACTAAATACATCCATTGCACAATGATAAAGAAAAGGTGCCAGCTCACATGTAAATGAACGTACCCATGTTCATGACAGCAACAGGATCCTGGACCTATACAGAAGTGGGTAAAATGAAGATTCAGTGAAGGGAACTCCTTTCTCCTTGCAGAGGGGCTTGCTCTCTCTTAATTCAAGGAAGTTATCACAGCCCTTAATGCAGATGTGAATGGAGACCACATTTGAGTGTCACATTGTGTTGTTTCTGGATCAAAGCCATCATTTGACGCCCTTGCCTGAACATTTAACTCAGAGAAATCTGTTCAAGAACTGCAGCCGGGGTGGGGAGGAGGGAGACACAACTTGCCTGACAGGCTGTAGTTCCTAGCCAGGAAAGGCATGTGCCAGAAGAAATGAGGCAGAGCCAAGCAAGAGTCCTTATGAAAGCCACACATTCAGAGATAAAGCCAAGGCCATCTGTTGCCTTGATGTACTGGCACCATAATTGCTAGCAGAGGGAAACGTGGAAGAGATTGCAGATAAACACAGGGGGGGATTTTGTACTTAGTGTTAAGCTTATTATTGCAGGCTTTGTAGCAGAGCTGGAACAGCAGAAGGGCAAAACGATCCCCAGTTGAACCAATTCTGTCTTCTCCCTTCCTCTCCATCCTCCCCCCATTCTATCCATGATGCTTGGCGTTTCAACATGGCCAGGATAATGGGACAGTATCAATGGGAAAACTGCAAAAAGATGCAATCGATCTGCTTGATAGTTCTGGTTCTCCACATCTTCCAGCATCTGGACTGGAGGGCATTCAGCATGGTGGGCTCCCTCTTGTGCAGAGATATACAAATCCAGAGGAGGCAGGCCCTGATGCTCCCCTGCAGAATTCATTATCACTCCCAGCATCACCAGAAATGACATGATGCCATTTCTGGTTCTGGGAATTGGCCAAAACATGGAAATTTTCACATGAAAAGGACGGAGGAACCCAAATTGCCACATATCTGTGGGCAAACAATGGATTATGAACAGAAAATGGACTTTATGGTGTGTTTCGACTCTGAACTTTCAGCTGAAATTTTTAAAATAAACAAAAATGGGAGGCTTGGGGGAGTCTTTGGAGGGATTTGGATCACCACAAAACTGGGCCTAGGGAACCTATGGGCTGCACTTTCCCCATCCTTGTTCGAGTGCAATGATCTCTTCACCCTGATAATAGAAATGTTATGAAGAATTTTGTTTTGAGGTGCTAGTTGAAGTGGTACTTATTTTTGCAAACAATTACTGGTGTGATTCAGCCTACCATGTATTTTTATTCTTACAAGCACTGTAGTTGCTGTGTATTCAAGTGTGTGGGAAGAAGTGAAGTCAGGCCTAAGGGCAGGTGAGGAACCATAAAACAAGCAATTACAAAATGGGGTGTTGTACAACACCCTTGCCAAGATGTGTGTCTGTGTGTGTGCATGTGTGTTTTTCAAATGGAACCTCTTTGACTGGCTCAGGACAGAGAATGGTTAGCAGAAAAGGCCTCTCTGGACAACCTATAGCCAGCACTCATACTGAAATCATATGTCAAGACTACTGATTAAATTATTTGAATACTCAACATCTCCAGGCAAGGCTTTATCTTTCACAGTATGGCATCCTGCAGTGGGCAAACAATGGATTATGAACAGAAAATGGTACAGTAGCATGATGTGGTGGTTTGAGTATTGGACTGTGACTCTGGAGACCAGGGTTCGATTCCCTGCCACAGCCATGAAACCCACTGGGTGACCTTGGTCAAGCCACATGCTCTCAGTCTCAAGGGGAGGCAAGGGAAAGCAAGGGAAGGCAATGGCAAACCTCCTCTGAACAATTCTTGCCAAGAAAACCCCATGATAGGTTCACCTTAGGGTCACCATAAGTTAGAAATGACTTGAAGACACATAATGACGACAACAGAATAGTTCACCATTGAGGAGCCCTGGTGGCGCAGTGGTTAAATGCCTGTACTGCAGCCACTCACTCATAAATCACAAGGTTGTGAGTTCAGTACTAGCCAGGTCTCAGGCTTGACTCAGGCCTGCATCCTTCTGAGGTTGCTAAAATGAGTATCCAACTGTTGGGGGGCAATGAGCTTATAGTTGTAAACCGCTTAGACATCCCATAGCGTGATATGAAGCGGTATATAAATGAAGCTGCTTTGCTTTGCTTTGATCAACTCAACACTTCTGTGTAATCTTTCTTTCTTTAAGTGTGTGCTTGACTGACACATTAACACCTTTTGTTAAACAATGGAGGAGAAAATGTTTCTTGGGAAGTCCAGAGACATTTGTCTCAGAGGTCCTCTGTTTTAAGAAGCACCTCCTGATCTGAAAGGTCTTTTCCCATTTCAAATCCTTTAAAAAGACCTCATAATCAAAAGGTAGTTTGTTTTGGGGAAGGAGACAGCATCCATTTTTGACCAACCCGGCTGAAACTAGTCTTTCAGAACCTCCCAAATTTGGGATTTTGGTCAAAGAATCTCATTAGCTTATTCTCTTCCTTAACATTCTGGTCTGTCTTGGAAAACTTAAGTAGCTTGTTCTCTTCTTGCTCCTGCTCTTACTAGAAATGCAATATTCCCGTATTTCCTCCTAGGAACATTCAGTGGGGCCTAGGAGAGATGACTTTTTTTGCCCCTAAAATCTGTCTTTCAGGGAGCATTTCCCTGCACATTCAGCTTCCCCCCTCCATCTGCTTCTCATCCTCTGGACTAGTCTGGAGTATGTGTGTAGATTAGGGAAACTATTATGTTATCCTTACTTTTCAACCTCTTTCTTTCTTTCATTTTTCCCTCCTCTTATCAGTCCCTGCAACTTCATATTGCTTGTCTCCAAATCCTCTCAGTCTAATGAGTTTGCATACTTGAGTTAGTATTTCTTACAACAACTGTGCTCTGTTTAGGTAGTTTTTTTTTATATTTGCCATTTATGAAGCTCTACTATACATAGTATTTGTTATTTCTCAATGCAATTATTGTGTATAGTTTTATTCTTGTCTTTTTCAATAAAATTTTCCCTTTTAGCTAGTTCTTTATGGATGTGGATTATTGACTCCAATTTTTGTAAGACATACTGCTATCAAAGTCATAAAATCTTTTAGAAACTGAGGGCCTAAGCAGACGGGCAGCCGTGGGCCACCCTGGGAAGGTGCGCCACAGGACCAAGGCATCCCCATGCTTCGATCCTGTGGTGCACCATCGTTGCCCCTGGAAAGGAGTGCTAAAATAGCGCTCCTTTCATATGTCGCCGAAAGTGCGCTGCAAAAGGTTGCGGCGAACTTTTGGTGACTTTTCCACCGTAGCGTGTCCAGACGCTGTGGTGGGAGGTCCTCCTTGGAGCTCCGGCCGTGCAGAGGACTGGCGGCTCCGAGGACGACCTCGGGAGGGGGAGGGGGCGCCGAGCATGCGGCTGCCCCTCCCCTTCCCTGCGCCGAAGACGGCCCAATAAGCCGTCTGCTTAGGCCCTGTGTACCCAAATTCAGTGGTGTTCCCACACCAGGTGTCACCCTGTGCCGGGGGGGATTCCATTAAAGTAATGGATGGTGTGCGTGCCCACAGAGAGAGCTCTGTGTGCCAGAGAGGACATGCATGTCATAGGTTCATCACCACTGGCCTACAAAGATGGAGCAGGGGCAGGAAAGGAAACAAAAAACTTTTCCCTTATGTCCATTCGGGAACCCTGTCAGAGAAATTTATATAGTGTCCATGATCTTACTTTTTCAGTACCAGCCAAGACTATTTTTACTCTCTACTCATGACCTTTTAAAACTTGCTGTAGTTGCAGGTCAAAGTTGTAGAGTGTGATGTAGTGGTTTAAGCATAGGACCAGGACTCTCGAGGTTAGGGTTCAATTCCCCACTCAGCCATGGAAACCTGCTGGGTGATCTTAGGCAAGTCACATCCTCTCAGCTCTTGAAAATCCCATGATAGATTCACCTTAGAGTCACTATATACTGGGAACAACTTGAAGGCACACAACAAAAATTATAGGGTTGAAAATAAAGATAAAACATACTCTTTCAAATAAACAAAACACCAGGGATGCCCGTGAAAACAATATGGGATACTTGTAAAACTGTAGTAAGGGGCCTCCTAATTAAAAGAGTATCAGAAAGCAGGAAAATGAAAGCAGGGGGGGAAAAAACAAATAAGTCAACATTTGAAACCCAAAGAAGAGGAATTAAAGAAAACACCATCAAATAAAATCGTTTATAAAGAAGTCAAACTAGTGCAGAAACAATTTCAAACTCAATTAACTGATGAGAGAGCAGAAAAATTGAAAAAAATGAGGCAAATGAGGCAAAAAAACCTTTGAACAGGCTAACAAAACAGGCAGATGGTTGCCTTACAAATTGAAAAAGGAAACAGAAGAAACTGATTACAGAATTAAAATACAAAGGAGAATCAAAAACAAACTATGATGAGATTAAGAAGATCTTTTATAAAGTCTATGCCAATTTGTTTAAGAAGAAAGAACCAAAAGACATTAGGGGGAAAAATGAAAGATTTTTTTAAACAAGAAACAAATTCCGAAAATTACAAGAGAACAAAAAGAAATGTTGAACACATCTATAACTAAAGAAGAAATATCTAAGGCCATCCAAAGTCTGAAAATATATAAATCTCTGTGCCCAGATGGCTTTACAGTGAATTTCTGTAAAACTTTCAAAACAGAACTTGTCAATCCATTATATGAAACAATTAATAGAATACATCTTGAGGGGAAAATGACATCATGGAACAAAACAGTAATAGTAATGATCCAGAAAGAAGGAAAGGAACAGTAGCATCACTGGGAGGAGGTGCGGGGCTATGGGCTGCACTGGGTGACATCCCAGAAGAGGGGAGTGACACCCGTTCAGTCCCCGGCACTCACCAGGGCACAGTGGGTGCTCCCCAGCCCTGTCCAGGACCTGGCAGCTGCTTCCCAACCCACCCCAGAACCTAGTGACTGCTCCCAGACCTTTCCCAAGGGTGCACAGCTGCTCATCAAAGTGCATAGTTGGCGATAAATGGTGACAGGTTAACTGAATTTCAAATAAGTAAAGGAACAAGGCAAGATGCCCGCTGACACCCTTGTTATTTATCCTGGTCTTAGAAATTTTTATGAACTGAAAAGATTCAACACAAAAATTAAAGGCACCAAATTAAGAGACATAAATATAAAATCAAAGCTTATGCTGATGATATGGTAATTATTCTGGACAACCCAGAAGAAAATATACAACATACCATGCACGAGATTAATTTATTTGGCAAATATTCAGGATTTAAATTAAATAAAGATAAAACTTGGCTATTAACTAAGAACATGAAAATAGCAAAGAAAACAATTTGGAAAGTAAATCAGGATGCGAAGTAAAAAATAAAATAAAATACCTAGGATTATGGCTAACTAATAAAAATACAGACCTGTTTGAAAACAACTATGCTACCACTTGGAAAGAGATCCAGAAATATTTAATCCATTGGAACAAATGGGGGAGAACTGATACAATCAAAATGAATGTGTTACCCAAGATTATTAATTTTTGTTTCTTAATTTACCAATCTTTCAGAGACAGAATCTTTATGGAATGGAATAAAGAAATTAAGAAATTTATGTAGAAAAGGGAAAAAAACAGGATAAAATGGGACACAATAGCCTCAAAAGAGGGGGGATGTGCATTGCCAGACTATTAAATTTGGAAGGCTTTAATTTACGGTTTGGGTGGCATGCATATATATGGTATGGTAAAGTAAAAATAAATAAAGATTTTAATAACCATAATATCAAGAAAGCTCTGTTAAGAACCTGGACTTTTATTAAAAAAAATAAATTTTATGTTAAAAATTTAACATAAATTTTATGGGCTTCTATGGGCTTCTCCCTAAGAGGCATTTTTCAGAAGATAGGGAAAGAACCAAAACTGGCTTACTTATAAAGACTTACCGTAATTTGTAAAACAGGAGATGGTAAAATAGAGATTAGATCAAAAGAAAAACTGGATGTTAAATGTCATAAATGCAATGGATAAATTAATGGCAAATTAAAGGAAAATTTAAGGAAGACTTAAAAATGAGAATTTCAAAGACAAAGAAAATGAATTTGATCAATTATTATGGATGAAAGACAAAAAGCAAGATCACCAAAATATATAAACTATTATGTCTAGAAATCTGGAAAAAGGAGGAATAAAAGAGTCTGTGATAAAATGGACCAAAGATTTGGGACACAATATAGATTTAGAGAAATGGGAGAATGCAAGAAAGAAAACCAACAAATTTACAGCGTCATAGGATTTTTTAAAAAATTATGTTAAGCTATCAAATAGATGGTATTATATCCTGCTTAAATTAAAGAAGACTAACAAGATAAGTAACAAACAATGTTAGAAAAGTTCAAAAGAAATCAGATAGATATTCCATATGTGGTGGAACTGCCCTAGAATGGTTTAAAATACACAATATAATTCAAAAGCTCTTAAATATATACCATGCCTTTTCACCAGAAATATATCTACTTAATATAACATGTATCTTAAGGGAAGACGAAGAAAGGAAACACTGGATCTTATATTTGGTTACTGATCACAAAACAATGGAAATTGAAAGAAACCCCAGAAGTAGAGGACTGGATAGATAAAGTCCAAAATATGAGAGAAATGGACAAATTAACCTATACACTTGTCCCTTGCCATTCATGGTCTTGCCATTTGCATCCCTCACTCCTTTGCAGACAGCAAGTCATGAT